CACTCCCTCCTCTCTCTCTTCCCCATCTCTCTCCTTCTCTTTTTATTTCTCTCTTTCTCTCTCCCCCAGCTCTGTGCTGTTTTTCTTCCTCATCTCTCTCCCTCTTTCTCCCCCTCTGTCCTCTGTTTTCTTTCCCCATCTCTCTCTCTCTCTCTCTCTCTTCCCTGTCAGTATCTCTCCCTTTTTACCTTTCTTTCACTTTCTTTCTCTCTTTCCCTTTCTCTTTCTCTCTCCCTCTCTCTCAACAGTTTTTAAGAGTTTTATATATATATATATATATATATATATATACATAGTAAAACTGTTGTCTTAAGAAAATAAGTTAGAGTAGATAAGAAGTTACAATATTTCTAGAATATTTTAGTGATATGCAATAGTTTAATGTAAAAGTGATGCTTGTTATTATTATTTTCTAAGCAAAAATGTTAAGACATACTGTACAGTGAATATATATTTCAATGCATAACTACTGTTTATTAGCTAAACTGGAAAAATAAAACATAAAATGTGGTTTGTACAACAGTTAGGTCACATTTTATATTTTATGGTTTATTTTAATACATTAAATTTAGCAAGGAAGTAGAATTTGTGCACCAAAATTAGTAGAAAAATGAAATATTACAGTTTGTCCCTTTCTACATAAAAAATAATGGGGCGTGTTCAAACGTTTGCATACAACTTTATAGTTACAGGGTATATAAATCTATAATACTTGTGCAGTATCCTGTGGAAAACTATGGTAATGGTCCCAATTTAAAGCTCTGGCAGGAATCCAGTAGAAATTTTTGTAGTATATTTATACAGATCATTGTACTGATTTGGTTCAAAGTCAGATTTGAAAACCCATTTCAGACTTTTAAGTGACTTTCAGACTAAAATCCTTTTGCTTTGAACCTTAATTACCTTAAATATGTTTATTTTATTACAACAAATCATTGAACATTCCTTTTTGTCACTACCAAAACAATCATAACACTATTGAAACTTCACCTGATGTTTCAGTACTGACAACTTGAGCTAATTTTGAGCATGACTAGCAAACAAAGCTTTGAACAGCTGTTCACACATAAAATCATAAATTTTCCAACTCAAAAAAGTTTACTCATTTGCAGAAAACGTGTTTTGGTGGTGACAGTTCTTAATGTTACACCCTGATTTTCAGATCTTTGGACTCAAAACACTTCAAAACAATGGGATCTAACTGCTCACCATGTGACCATGAGGGACAGGGATGCAACCTCACTCCCTGCTCTAAAATGCAGGGGTGTGGCTAATATAAGGCTCCGCCCACATACTAAAACTCTTTGTGTTTCGGTAGTGACATGAAAACATGGAACAGCATTTTTTTTATTAAACTCATGATACATCTAAATCTTTCAACTTCACTTTGAAAGAAATAAAAAAAATCTTAAAAAACCAAAAAAAAAGTATTATAATTATAAATTCAGATTTGGTATATATTTAGCTTGCAAGTATCTCAATTAATACATTAAATAGATTAAATAGATACAAAACAAAATCCTTGTAAATATTTAAAATCTGAATATTTAATATCTAAGATCTGAATATTATTTTTTTGGGACAGCAGTTTGATTTTACTGGGCAGAATAGTCCGTATAAGTTGAGCTACTGCTGAGACAAACTTGAGAGTGACTCCTCAGTAAAGCTAAATCTGATTCTGATACACTTTCATTTCCTCTGCTTTCCAACGTTTAGTGGAAATGTCTGGGTTGTCTGAGCCCTGGCGGAGCGGATATTGCCTTTGTAGTAAAAAAAAAAAGCCTCTCTCTGCAGGAGGCGGCCAAATGGAAGCTGCAAACACAGCAGCAGGACACATGCTTTCTCGGACTGGACCGGGCCAGCTGCTGTAGAAAACTGCACACATATTGATTTGTGAACCTCCCTGCAGCAAACACAGTCATCCTCCTTTCCACTGAACTAAAATGAACGGGAGATGTATTTAATCTACACGCTGTGTTTTCACATTAAGCCACAGACAAACTTTTCTGCTGGGTGAAGAGATCCATGTCTAAGCTTTGTGCTCTTTTCCCTCTGCACAGTTTCAGCCTGCTAGCCGCCATGTTAGCACTGCCTTAGCTCAAACAGCTGACTCATTTTTTTCACTGGAATACAGAAGACGGACATGGCAGGACATTCAGTGCAATGAAGTAATCACTGTACACATACAAGATAGGAATAGCAGACAACATAAAGCACAGTACTTACAGAGAGAAGGGCTGCACAGCTGAGTCGCTCTTGTCTTTGAGTGTGTGTGGGGGTGTGTTTGTGATCTCACTGACCATGATCCTCCTGCAGCTTTGTGGTCTAATGGGCACACGACGTGCAGTATCATGCAAGCTCTTTCTCTCTGTCTTCCTGTCTCTCTCACTCTGCTGGTGTTTGTTTTATGAACTACAGTAATAATACAGTAACCTTCAGCAGTAATGTCATTCAATATATACCAAGACAGCAAGAGAGGAGAATAAAAAGGGAAAAGATGATGCTACCGAAAAAGGAACTGATACAGAATGTGTCAAGCAATTGGTCAGAAGGTTTAAGCTGGACATTCACCAGTATTAGTGGTGCATATAGCAGCAATCTGATATTGGGTATCAGTATCAGGCCAATATCAGCTGAAAGTGGATATCAGAGGGGAAAAAGAATGAATCCAACTTGATTCAGTCACAAATCTAGCCTGAAACAGCACTACAGTATAAAACCAGTATAAAACTGCAAACACTGCAGTATAAAAACTGCACTGGCCACTGCACTAGGGCCACCAAGCAAATGATCGTTGTGACCAAAATAAAGAATTTGTGACCAGAATTACAGAAACATATTTATCGAATACAGTTAGAAATAAAGGTTCTGTGCAGGTACATTTTTTGTTCATCAAGGTACAAACAATGTAAATGTTTCCTCAAACATACAACAGTGGTTTTAAGGTCTGATTGTGTACCTTAAATACGTTTTTCCAGGTGAAAAGTATGTATTTCCACCTTTTCATAACCGAATGTTTTAAAACAGAACAGTAAGATAAAAGCCTGGAGATGAGACGGGGTGTGTGGAGTCTTAGAAAATCTCATTTCAGTGGATTATGGTATAGTTATGTTCCCTGACTAAAGGTACTGAGATGTACCCTTGAGGGTCCCACCCCAGTAACCAGAGGGGAACTGCCCCAGTGATAGTTCACTACCTTTATTTCTGAGAGTGTATGCAAAACTTTCAATACCCCTAATTCACAATTTCTGTTCATTTCCTTAGTTTTTAGTGTATTAAAATAATTTTAAAAACCACCTTTAAAATGTGCCATAACCAATATAGATGTTATATTTTCTGTAGTATTCTTTCCAATATGTTAATTTCCGAAAAAAAAATCAAATTAAATCAAAACATAAAATAACAAAACAGTAATTCTACATTAAAATGTCCTCTGTAGAGGATGTGTTAACTTATTTTCACTTAGAATAGCAACAATACATGTCATTGCCCAGGGGTGCCCAAATGTTTCTTGCATACGACTGTATACACTGTGCAACCTGTATGTGTTGTTGTATTTTGAACTCAATAAGACATGCCTTTAATGAGACGCAGTTTGCAGGCCAGTCTAACACCCACACTCTCTGATTATGCAGCTGTTCTGTTCTAACACGTCCAGAATGTGGCCTTGTGTTGTCATGTTAAAATAAAGATGGGTGTTTCTGATAAAGATGGGATATAGAAGGCAGCATATGTTGCTTCAGAATGTGTTCAACATTGATGGTGCTTTCACAGATGTGCAAGTTACCCAATATCACCCCCATACCATGACAAACCCTGGCTTTTGAACTTTACACTGGTAACAATCTGGATAGTCCTTTTCTTCTTTGGCCCAAAGAACACAACCTCCATTTTTTCCATATAATAGTGAAAAGTTGACTCATCAGACAACAATGCATGTTTCCACTGTGCATCAGTCCATTTCAGATAAGCTTGAGTCTAGAGAAGTTGGCAGCGTTTATGGACATTGTTGACATATTGATATGACTTCCACTGTGCATAGTACAGCCTTATTATACAAGCTGTGTATGATTAATTAAACACCACATATTTAATTAATGCCTATTCTCTTAGATGTGCTATTACCAAATGTGCCTGTTTGTTTGTTGAAATGGAATAATATGCTAATCTCCTGTACGTAGAAGTTACAATGAAAACAATAAAAAATTTAATTGAAAAAAAAATTGTCTGGATACTCTCAGTATTTCTGAAACAAGCCACCCAAATACAGTGTTTCCTCTCTTTTCCAAAAGATAAGGAGCTCTGAGGGTTGATGTCAACAGAGGAAAATGTGCTAGAGACTGTAGATACACTTTCAGTGACAAGGCCATGACCAAACACATGAGTGCTCAACAATAACCGAAGTGTGAAATGCATATTCCATTCCGTTCTTCTGTGTGCCAAACTAATTCAGCCATTATTGAATATAGTTTTGCTGGTTATAGAGCCTAAAGTTTATCTGGAATTTGTGTTATGTAGCCAAAAAAAAGTAGGAATTTAACACTGTGTCCTCAGTCAATATTTTACTGTATTTATTCTTCAGACAAAGTTGACTATTTTGACAAGTCTGAGAAAATGTCCGAGTTAAAGCTTAAACTAGGGGAAAGTCTGTGTTTCTGTTTATATTATATTCTTTAGCCTACACTAGGTGATTAACGCATATTAAGACATATTTACAGCCAAGATGTTAAAATGTCACACCAATAAAATGGACATATAACGCTGTGGCTCTCAAGATGGTTTGACTTTTGTTGAAATGGGACAAAATGGCTCTTCTTAACATTTGGGTTGCCGCCCCCTGGCCTAGACTATGCAATTACCCCAGCACCTATTTTGAGTTTGATGAAATTAGTTCGAGTAAATCAGTTAAAAACACCTTTTACAACTCTGAACTTCTTGTGAAAAAAGACCAAAACAACCCAACAGCTCAGTGTTAAACCTGCAAAGGATCCACGTACAAAGACTATGTTTGCTGTTTGTCTGCTTGATATTACACTGAGATTATGAGAAACGGATAACTTTTTGGAGAGATATATAACACGTGTCAGGCTGCTGACGCTTTTACTTTGTCAATTTCACTTTAAAATTATAAAATATAATAGTTTGAGCAGCACAAAAAGAAATGGCTACAATACTAGATATGCAACGTATCTGCTCCGGACGTAAACGCAGCCGAATGAGATGAAGATCAGCGATCGTGACGCTCTCCGCGCTATGGAACGCGTCGACTGTGATGTAGTGACGTAGAGCGGTAGACGCTTCTCCTCGTCGTCTCGGTTGTGTTTTTTTTTCTTGTGGGAGCCGCTCGATTTTAGTTCAGAAACAAGTGAGACGGCGCGGTATAATCTGTCTTTCCGCTAAATAACGTGTATAAAAAGCTGCTTGGCTTTCGGTTAATAACGTGTTCGAGGTTGTCTTTAGTTTTACAGCGTGTTTGGTTTGCAGTTGTTAGCGTTAAGTGTGTCCCGACTGTCACATCCATCCTTATGACAAGTTACATGTAAAATTTGGAGTTCGCCGCTGATTTATCACCATCTCATCATCGACTCGAAGGTAAGAAAATAAGACGAATCTTTCCGAAGTGTAACTTTTTAAACCGCGGAGTTGGTACTGCTAACCACCCCGGCGTTAGCCGTCTGGTTAACCTAGATATCTCGCAGTTACCTCCCCTGCTAATGCTAACGGTTCGTGCTGAGTCTGGTTATTGCCATAGATCAACCAGCAAGTTAGCGAATATGTTGACAACGTGAGGGATGTTTTAAACGTATCTTAAGCACAGTGCTTGTCCTTTGTCGTACAAACGCACTGTCAACGGTTTATTCAGCGATACTGCTCTGTTTTCAGTGTTTGCCGTAAGTAAACACTACTAACCTAGCTACCGCTAAGCACTCCGCATCTTCACTTAGGGCTGAAGTTAAGTTAAGCTAGCTGTCTGGCTCCGTGCGAGCCGGAGCATTCGTGCTATTTAAGTTAAAACGCTATCTTTGCAGTACCTGTCTTATAATGTGGTTCAAAAGGTTGCTCATTAAATTAAGCCAAAGTTAGTCCGTCGTTCACGGCGCATCACTTGACAGAAAAGCTGTTTGGGTTAGCATTAGCGTTAGCTGATGTAGGTGAGCTCGCTACAGTGGAGTGTTGGTCTTGTCTGCTTCACTAACATCGCCCGGCTAATAATAACGCGCAGTCCAGCTATAAGACTAGATTAATTATGTAACTTTATATAAAATCTTTGCTGTATATCTGGCCAAGCTAACCCAAGTCAGCTAACAGTTGAATACGAAGAACAGCTTAGCTAACCCTACGTTGTTATTAACGCTGGTAGTCAGGTTAATTAACCTAACCGACGTTGTTTTTTGTGATGTTTGCTGGCTCGGTGGCTATCAGTGCGCGTTTGTGGCTCATCTGGATAACTAACAGTGTCATTTGTGCAGATATAATTATGTGCATGTGTTTTTGTGTCATTGCTGTGATATGAATTCATTCCCCCTGCGGACTGCAGCACACTCAACTATTTTTTTATCATTCTTCTCCACAGAAATGGACAACGGTAACGTTACGACAACTTCTGCGTTTGGTTCGCAGGTAAAGGCTTTTTTCCCACATTCATAAATAGATAAATATGCCACTGACAAGATGTTAGATATCATGTTTATACGTCACCCTGGCGTAGTTTTTGCTACCTGTCCCTCAACTCTTTAAGTTAGCCAACTTGCTAACGTTAACTAAATACCTGCTGCTGGGTTTGATGTAGACAAAACGGCTGTTTGGCGTCGTGTCACGTATGGAAAGCGTGTTAACTCGATGCCTAGCGAAGTATCTAACCTAACGTTAACGGGTTATGTAAGGAGGCTTTCCACAAACTTCGACAACGTGTCTAATCACAGCCACAACCGCAACACAAAATGTCTATCGTTAGCTCCTGCTAGGTCTGCTAATGTTAGGTTGCTAATGTGAAGCGAACGGGCGCTAATTCCCCAGTTCAGCCTGCGGCGTCTCGCTCTTCCGAAAACGCTGATATTATTTGTTGTCATTTAGTTTAATCGATTGGTTTCGGCCCGGGCACGGTGGACTTTCCCCAGCGAGCTAGCCGTAGACATGGTTACTGCGTTTTTGTGGCACAGCTGTCGAGTTTGTGTCAGCTGGGTTCAGTTAACCTACGTTAGCCGTGGAAAGTTAGCCGCCTCCTCGTTACCTGACTCGGTCCGCGTTCGCCGTGTTCGCATCAAACCACGGCGAAGTTATGTTTGTTTAATCGGCGTCCCAGATTTTCTTGGCACAAGTGGCTAAGTAACTATAACGCTAACTCTGTTGAAAATTTCTATAAGGGGTTAAAACAGAAAAAATGAAGCGTGTTAAAGTGGTTCGCGTGTGTTTTGAGGTCATGCTCTGCCTTGTTGTCGACCGTTTAGCACCTTTGACAGATTTACTCTCCAAAGTGCGGGGGAGGTGTGATGGTTACTGAAACAGCGCTTATTGCGGGACCATCCAGTAAATATGGAAAGTGAAGCCCTGGGTTCAACAGTGTAAAGCGGTTTTAAACGCCTTAAACTCAATAGCTACTAAAGCTGACGTGTTTGATAGTGTTGTCCTGCTTGCTAACATTAGCTAGCCGGTGTTGTGCTAACGCTATCTTGTCGAAATGTCCTACTGTGGTAAATATTTATAGGCAGCTCCCAGCACAAAACAGTAGGTGGGATATTTTGATAGCCTAAACCACCGTATTAGAAAATACTACCCGCATTAAAACTCTAGGCAGGACACTTTCAGCATTGAGATGCATAGGTAGGATGTTTTGATAGCCTAAATGTCCTTATGAGAAAATGTTACCAGCTTTATAAGAGTAATTAGGATATTTGATGGCCTAAATCACCTTATCAGATGGTTAAATAGCAATATCAAGCTGCATCTGTGCTGAATTAACACTAAAAATACAATAAAACCTTTAAAATACAAAGTAACTATACTGTACTAATGATATGTGCATGTTTGGTAGGCCAGCTCGATGGGTAGGATAAGTTGTTAAAATACAGACTGTATCTGAAAACGACTAATTACAGCACCTGCATGCCTCCTCCTTTATCATCTTTCACTTAGATGACCTCAAAGTTGTACACTGTATGTCCAAAAGTCTTCAGACACCCCTTCTCATTAGCGATTTCAGCAGCACCCGTTGCTGACTCAGGCATTGAATGTACATATTGTATAATCTACAAAGAAATGCATTGACCAATAGAATAGGATGCTCTGGAGAAGCCGCACATGTGAGCGTCGGCAAGAAGGGTTTAAAGCTCCCCAGCATTGGCCTGTGGTGCGGTGGAACTGTGTTCTCTGGAGTCATGGAGCTCCATCATGTTCCTTTAGGATGGGCTGTGATTCAGAACTAATCATCCAAATTCAGTACCTGACCTCACTAATGGAGCTCTTGCGATCGGATCATCACGGCAATCAGCACGTTTACATGCGCTCAATAATCCGATCATAATCAGATTTCTGCAGTTATCTGATTATTCAAATGGTCGTGTAAACACCACACTCTGATCTAAAAATCTGATAAAGAGAGCTGGATTTTAGCTCAGTAATCAGATTTCTCAGTGCATATATGCTTGTACTCTGATTTCTATCGGATTTCCTAGTCTGCACCAGATATAAGTAAGCAGCGCTGTCGCGAGATGCAGCAAAACACTTTTGGAGCGACGCTGAAACCAAATACATGCTTAACTAAATGACAGATTTAAAAAATCTTTTAGATGATATATGTTCGAAGTTTCAGGTGAAGTGACTCGGTGTTTAAAAAAAAAAAGCGCTATATTACGTTTACGTCGCTTCTTCCTCTGTGAGTTTATTGGCTGGTTGCAAAGCAGAAATCTGACTGATATTGACCCGGAGTTTCCTGATTATGTGATTACACAAGAGCATGTAAACACGCTGATCGGATAACTGACAAAATCTGATTTTCTGCAGTTATCGGATTATTAAGTGCATGTAAACACACACACACACACATATATATATATATATATATATATATATATATATATATATATATATATATATATATATATAAAATGTGTGTATATGTATATATAGACAACCCTATATATATATATATATATATATATATATATATATACACAATCCTTGTTAGTTTGATGCGCAGATGTGTACAAACTTTTGGACATGTAGTGTACTTCTGAATGGATTGGATTCAGAACATCTGATGTTAATTTCAGTTTGTTATGTTGGCTAGTTTCAGTGCTTAAAATACACTCTTCTTAGAAAAACTATTTTTCTTGGAATTAAAGATTTTACAACAAACTCATGAGCACAAACTCTTTGTTGATTGGCAGGGCTATAGTCCAACCTACAAAAGGAAAAGGACGGTAGAAGATTTCAACAAGTTTTGCACGTTTGTGCTGGCATACGCAGGTTATATTCCATATCCACAGGAGGTGAGTGAAGTTTTTCTATTTAAAGTGGATGTATGTGTGTGAGAGTGGAAAAAAACCTTCACATGTCTTTTAGGATGTACTGTTAAACAATTCCAACCCCACTCTGTAGTATCAGACCTGTCTTCACTACCCATTCAGTATGATGTGCTCTGTATTTTTGTCAAGGGGCTATGTGGTTTGGGAATTTTTGGAATGCCACCAGATTTAGTAACTCCAGAGTACCTTTGCACACAGTCTGACTCACTTGTTTTCACCGCCTGTCCTCAGGAACTTGAGGGATTTCTCACACACATTCACACACACACCTACACACACACACACTCTCCTGAGGTTTACTCTCACAGCACTTGCCCAGCACTGAGTGGTGTTGGAGTCTGTGTTTGGGTCTCATTCCTTTCTCGCCCTGTGAGCTACTGTGCTTGCTGATGCTCTGTTTGATCCACAGAATTGGTGGTGGCTCTGTGGGCAGCTGTTCTGTTGCATTTCCCCCCATGCTGCCCTGCCACTGAGGGACCCCCTCCCCAAAAAACCTCAGCCCTCCCTTCCAGGGTAAGAGGGCAACTCCAGTCTCCTCCATGCTCATCTCAGACCCTGTCTTTTAATGCCATACATCACTGCAGCAGTGCACATCAAACTGCTTTCGTTTCAGGTTCTCTATTCGGCGGAACCTCAGAGCACATCGAGGCTAGACCATGGCCTGGGCACCTTTTTTATGCTTATATGGTCTTGTTGTTGGGTGGGGTTAGAGGTCAGCCTCATCCTTTAAAGCCTGGTCATTCATGAATGTCTGTGCTTATTGTGAGTGGGGCTGCACGATTTAACCAATGTTATTCATCTATCACAGTTTTTACCTCTGCAGTTATCTAATCATGAAAGGTTGCGGTTAAAGCAGTTGGTATAATATCGCTGCATCATATACAGGCATTTCTAATTTCAAAGAGGGCTAATCAAGCTTTCACTACACTAACCAACGTCTGTTGGTCCTTTGGAGAATTCTGTGAATATTGTGGCAAATCACATCTGTTTGTGTGGGTTTGCAGGTTTGCACCCTGACTGTGTACAATTAAAATATGTTTTATTATTTATTTTTATAAAATATATATAATAATACATCAGCTGCCAAAGAAATCAATTATAACCACACAGCCCTAATTTGTAGTGTTTGTTTTGATTAGGAAGCTTTTCTTTGTGGATCTGTCTGTTAAACATAAATTAGGACAAAAATTAAGTAGCCTAAAAGCAAATGTCAGCAAGGTAGAAGGGTTCTTGCACAGATCTTTGTTCAGTGAATACCTTTGCTTTCTAAAACCACAGCATTTCTCCTGCACCCTGCACCTAGTTGCAAACAAAAATGGCTCCCAAAGACGTTTAAACTCGTCTGAGGAATAGGAATTGGGTGAAATAGTGCTTAAAGCGGATCATGTTTTGGCAGCTTTCCCTCTGTGGTTTATCCTCACACCCAGCAATTTCATTTTGTTTCTACCAGTTAAGCTCAGATACTTGGATTTCTGCTGTCCTTTTAAGTTTTGTAAGCTTTCTTACAACTTCACCCTGTTTCAGATCCTCACATCAGAGTTGCTTAGTTTGTCTTGGGCATCCAGGTTACTTGGTTTGTCTTTGTCTTTATGAAGCTACAAAAGAAGTGCCTTCATTTGATGTTAGACATTCTCATCATGCTCCAGTGTGGTCTGCATTTGTTGTGATAAATATTGTGCCATACACAGCAGGTTTTATGGGGATTAAACTGTTCTGTTCATTCACGCCATCATCAGTCAGCACACAATATGCAGTGAGTCACATAACTTATTGATGAAGCAGTTTAAAATAGCCATGTCGGGTCTATTCGTAAACAAATTCTGAAGTCATTTCTGAATGTCTTGGTAGTCAGGGTGGAAATATCTAATTTCCCAACAATTTGATGTGATTACAAGTATTTTAGAAACAATTCAATACGTCAAGAAATCTTAGATTTCATCATGATTGTTATTTTGGGATGATTTCAAATAATAAAAAGAACAAACTATGAAAAATGCAACTGTGATTGGGGGAAAAATAGTAGTAGTTGTTTAAATATATACAGAAAAATTGGTATACCAGAATATTAAGGATGAAATGGTTTGAAAATAGCCCCTGATGAGTGCGTACTGTGTTGAATATTATAATACCATTTAAAAATCTGGTTAAATGTGGACCACTTCAGATCAGTGTATCAACGCATTTTTACATTCCTTGGTGGTAGAAAACCGATGAGCAGGTGAGTTTGGATGTGCCCAAGTGAACATGTTCATTAAACCCTGGTCCATCCTTGTCTGCAGGAGGCACCCCTGAGGAGTAGCTCCAGCCCACCTAACAGCACAGGCAGCACTGCAGACAGTGATGGATGGGACAGTTCGCGCCTTGGCTGTGGCCTTCCCTCGCCAGACGAGCCTCCGCCCAAAAGCCGAAAGAGCTTCGCCGGGTTCAAGAGGCCGGCGGTGGAGGACGCTGAGCTCCAGAAACGGCCCAAATCAGCAGGCCTCCTCCTCGAGGGACGCAAGAAAGCTGACAAGGTCAAGAAGAAGAAAAAGAAGCCAGGGAAAAGCAAGGGCGACGAGTCCGAGACCTCTTTCCCACCATTTCCTTCTGGCACCGGAGTAGAAATGTCTGGCATTGGCCGGCCCATCAAGGAGGAGCCGGAGGATTACCTCAGCATCCCCACACCGTCTTCGTACATGGACATCAAGCGCTCAGCTCATTCCGCCGTAAGCTGTCCGCCAGGTTCGAGCTCACAGGGCACCATAGCCTGCAAAGAGGAGCCAGAGGCGGAGCACCCCTGCTGGCATTCGCCTGACAGCTCGGGTGCAGAGTTCAGGAGTGAAAGCAGGGAAAAGCCGATGCTTCCTGAGGGCGAGGCGGTGGTGATGAAGCTGGAGGGCCTACCTGGCACAAGGACAGTGATCCGCCAGGGAAAGCAGGTAGTGTTCCGCGACGAAGACGGCTCTGCAGACGACGAGGATATCATGGTTGATTCAGGCAAGTTCTCAGATCGAGATGTCGGAATAAGAGATGAGAGTGAAGAAAATATTTATGTGCAGCGTCATTTTATTACTACTTTAGTCACACTGCCCTGTAAATACACGTGTTTAATCCGTTATCGTTCTTCGTTTGCAGATGATGACTCCTGGGATCTGGTGACATGTTTTTGTATGAAGCCCTTTGCAGGAAGGGCAATGATCGAGTGTAACCAGTGCAACACTTGGATCCACCTGTCCTGTGCCAAAATACGCAAGTCCAACGTTCCTGAGACGTACACCTGCCAGCGGTGCAAAGACTCAAAGTTTGACATTCGACGCTCCAACCGCTCGCGCATGGGGTCTCGAAAACATCTTCTAGACTGACCCCACCCCTGCCCCTCCCCAAGTACAGACTCTATTAAAGACATGAGACGTACAGCAGAGGATGGGCTCTTTGATTGTGCTATTAAACTTTGTTTTTGAGTTTATATATATATATAATTAGTCCACCTTCCTAAATGTTTGCGTAAGGCAATCAAAGCCCGGATGATGCATTAAAAGAGAAGAGATTCGTACAGATAAGACTTGAGATAATTTGAAGTGGACGTTGGAGTCTCAGCGGTACACGCCTGAAGACATTACAGAACAGGTGTCATATTGGGAGTTGGAGAGACTGGTGGATTGCACTTTTTTTTAAGAAAAGGGAGAGTCGGAGAGACCCTTTTATATCCATAGCTTTCAAAAGTATGTCTGTTTTGTCAAAGTGTTAAGTTAGACTTGTTCAACTCGTATTTCCTTGTGGAACTTCTTCGAGTCCCCAAAAGTCTGAGGAATAGAGCACTATAGAAAATAGTGAAAATATGCTAATTTGAGGTACAGAATCTGTCCTTGAGCGGTTTTTGGACCTTTGGAATGAATCATCAAACACCCCTTCCCCCCCCCAAAGTGCTGTCCTTCACAAGTTCATTAAGAACGCAGTGTTTCAAAAAAGCTGCTCCTACTTCTTTATCCTTCACCAGCCTTTCAGGTAGAAATTGTTTTAGAACAATCCACCGCCTTTTATTACAAACACATCGTTACCTTCAGGTGTCTCCCTTAAGAGCTTCGACGCCCAAAGATGCCTGGGATACATAGCTTGCTCAACACTGAGTGACTTTTTTTGTTTTTTGCTTTATTAACAAAGCCTTTCACCATTGACTGCCATACAATTTTTGTTTTTAATCAAAGTGTCTTTTTTCCATGTTGGTTGCATGTTTTATCTAGAGATAACAGCCTTTTTTTCCCCTGTGATAATCAAAACATTTAATTGTTTTTTTCTCTTGTTGAAAATGGTACAAGCCTTTGTTTAATCTTCTAACACAACATTTTGATGACTAGCTCTCTCATGTTAAAATCGGTCACTGGAGTGCTTGGCAAATATTTGCGCAGATGCCCAGGATCCGGGCTTTGCTCAGTAAATGTCTTATTTTGCACCGTTCAAGTACAGCTAAATTTTATAGCTTATCTTACATGGCAGTATGTGAAGCTACATTGCTCTTCTAATATTATTTCTGTTCTGCAACATTTTTCTGCTGGATGTAGCCCAGCGGTTGGGATCGAAGGGACTAGGGCTTGTCCTCGCTGTAAAGGGAAGAACGTTTTGCCGACATATGCTCACTTCCACTCACATTCCTCAGATATTTGCTGGTCGTGGCCATATGAAATCTCAGAAGGGGAGCACAGTTTCTAGCTTGATTGTATTTGGACTGCATTTTTCACTCATGAAAACTTGCACACCACGTTCTCCAGTCTGATTAAGCAGACATATATAGACTTGTTTGAAAACTTGTTCCATTTTGTAGTCTTTTAATTGCACTATGGTCAACGTTGCTTTGGAATCTTTGAAGAAAAATCATAACCCTGCATGTCTTTAAAGTTACTTGTACTTTTTTCCATGAAGAACATGGTTTATGTTGGGCGTCAAACTCCAGTCTTAGATGGCTAAAGCTTAGGTTTTACCACCTTAAATGCACCTGATTCAACCTGTTAGCAGATTGGCAAGCTGTTGACAAGGTGAGGTCATGTTAGATGACATGCACTCCAAGGACTGGAGCTTTACACTGAGTTTTTGATGGCAACTGTCAGTCAAGACGTCTGCGTTGCCTGTAACGGACAGGCATTTTCTCATTTTCAGCTGTAATGTTTCCATTGCTAACTGATGCCTGTTGACTGTGGATGGGTAAAGTAGGTAATGAGCAAACTGCCTGGAGTCCAACTTAACGGATTTGCATTTGGTTTTGAACTTGAATTATTTTGGGGAAATACAGTTCGGTATTTATAGATGTGCAATGTTGTTCCCCGGTTCTGGACCATGCATTAAAATGCACAACATGGACGTTATCCAAGGCTATAGGCTACCACAATATGTAAAGAAACCACTCTTTTGTTGAGAATTTCTTCAAAGTTTTAATCAACTCCTGCAGTACATGTGATTTTAGTGTACGTATGTGCATTTCCCTCACCAGTGCTCCTTACATTGACCATAATGTCCAATGTTTTTATGATTGTCCCTATAACTATCTATAAGTGGAAGTATGTCATTCCACAGTGGTTAGGGCATGTACTTTTGGCAAATGGTCTTTAATTTATTTACATGTTTAGTATGCTCTAGCTACCTTTCTGTAGCTTGGTTCTTTGGGGGCGAGGATGACTCATGTTTAAGTATAATTTCTTGTATTAATAAGCTTTCATTTGCTAACCATTTGTCCAATATTGGATTTTCCTGATATCAAGGGTTTTTAAGTGTAACGGTTGCTGTACATTTTTATTTTGTACAATCATAATGTGTTCTGTTTGTGTATTATGTCTTGGGTAGTTCAAGGCTGTTCACCCCTTTGGTTCTGTGGGGGGGATTTGTCAGAATTGGTAGATTTCAATGGGACTCACTGTGTTAAGCTTGGAGAAGGGAGTACTAGGGCCAGAGAGAGAGCAAGAGAGAGAAAATGTTTCTGTGAAACTGATGTAAATAAAGAGCTAATGAGAATTTAACGGTAATTCAGCTTGATGTATGGAGTAGATTGCTTTAAAAAGGACCTTTTGAAATGCAAAAACTAAAATGTCAGCTTGAAAAGGATGTAAAATTATTGACCAGACAACGTGTAGTTTTTCATATTTTAATGTTTAACTTACTATTTAGGTCTGTAACAGCTCTATACATGATTTTTTTTCTCAAGTTTGCCATACAGGAATGTTAACACAGAAGAGAAACAAGTTTACTGTGGAATAAATAAAACCTCACTCACATGAACATGACCTACACGGGAAGACGGGAGGATGGATGCATGCAAGGAGAATCGAGTTTTCCCAAAGGAATGACCTTACCTTGGTCTTCAATACCACTTTTATTTCAAGAATCACTCCACTGGACTTTAGGGGCTGGTTTCCAAATATAGATTTACCTTCTTGGATTTGTACTCTAGGACCGTTTTCAATGGAGACTATATATAAAGTCCAGTACCAAGGACTGGAAAACCATCCCCACCAGTTTTAGGGTGTAGCGGTTTATGAGCAATTCTGGAACCTAAAAGGGTGCCATGGCCTACTTTTTCAAGGTTTATTGCACTGGCTGTCCCTGGGTAACGCTAATAACATTAAAAGAAACAATTATAGACCTGTTTATTCTCAGTCAGAGAAGCAGAGATGATCATTTATGTCAGTAAGGAAAGCAAAGCATAAACTACAGTTCTGTCCTCGTGGGCGCTGAGCCCAGCTTCGCTTCACAGTTATTAAGAGGTTATAAGCAGATAACATAACTACAGATCCAGTCATGCTTGATAAAAATAAATATGGTATCGGAAGGTAAAAAAACGGCTAATATACCAGATGAACTGAGGAATGGCACATTTACATTACACTATACATATGCAAGTCACATTTGGAACCAAAATATAAACATTTCAGCTAAATAAAGTTAAACTGTTAGAATGCCACTTTATTTTCTGGTGCTCTCAGCTTCGTACTCATTCACTGTGTCTGTAAACGCTATACGAACCAACAAACTATTCCGAAGGTATCCAGTTCCTTCACTCCAGCTCTATTTGTGCAACACTGAGATAGTTTCGCTTTCAAAGCATAGTGCGACTCTGATCAAGTTTCAGTCTAGGGAAAAGTACTGGTTCAAAACAATAACATCCTAAAGTTAACAGAAATGACAGGCCCTCCTGTACGTCTGTTGAATTAACTGTAGTTTAGTTTTAACTCCTCATACATTTTGCTGTTAAAACTGACAAATGACGATACAACAGGGCAAGTGGATATTTAGGACAAGCAGCACAATATCCAAGATTCTGCAACAGTATCATTTCAAAACCTTGTATCTCCAAAATGTAGGTTTACAGGAGAAGGAAAAAACCTACTTTACTTTTAATGTAAGTCAATGGAACCAGAATTTTTTCCAAGTCATTTTTGGCCATTTCTTTTGGTCCATTGGTCATGAAATTTATAGACAATGTAAAGGGCAAAAACTGAAAAACGACAAAACTGGAGACATGAGGTTTTATCCTGACAGCAGCGACAGTTTTGGGCTTTGTCAGAGTGTTTTTTACTGTGTGCTGTGAGCCGATTACAGTTCCAGATCTGTGTTTCTGTGAGTGTCTTGGATGAATTAAGGTATTCATGTAAACCAACACTATTTTGGTCAAAATGACGCAGGCTAACTTGCATGGACCAGTTTCCCAGACCCAGATTAAGTCTAAGCCTAGACTAAAAGGTAATTCGCCACTGACACTAGGGATGCCTTATACTTGAATCATATTAATATTGGCAAATACTTGCTTTAAAAAACATTATGGACATCAGACAGATGTTCATATTCAAGTGATATTTCAAAGCAACTTTAGATACTTTAGAAAAGCAGAGTGTTTAAGCAAGACTGGGCTGTTAGGCTAAAATGTCTGTATTTAAATAATATTACTGCGCTTACAATTCTATAAAAATGAATGTTACATTTCTCCATATTGCTAAACTAGGAAGATGTAGTTCCAATTTCTATATTTTAAAAATCCACACCGATCAGGCACAAGATTATGACCACCTCCTTGTTTCTACACTCATTGTCCATTTTATCAGCTCCACTTACTATATAGGTGCACTTTGTAGTTCTACAGTTACAGACTGTAGTCCATCTGTTTCTCTGCATACTTTGTTAGCCCCCTTTTACCCTGTTCTTCAGTGGTCAGGACCCCCATGGACCCTCACAGAGCAGGTACTATTTGGGTGGTGGATCATTCTCAGCACTGCAGTAACACTGACGTGGTGGTGGTGTGTTAGTGTGTGTTGCGCTGGTCTGTGTGGATCAGACACAGCAGTGCTGCTGGAGTTCACCTCAGTGTCACTGCTGGACTGAGAATAGTCCACCAACCAAAAATATCCAGCCAGCAGCATCCTGTGGGCAGCGTCCTGTGAGCACTGATGGACTAGAGGATGACCAACACAAACTGTGCAGCAGCAGATGAGCTATCATCTCTGACTTTACATCTACAAGGTGGACTGACAAGGTAGGAGTGTCTAATAGAGTGGACAGTGAGTGGACACAGAGTTTAAAAACTCCAGCAACACTGCTGTGTCTGATCCACTCAGACCAGCACACCACACACTAACACACCACCAGTCAGTGTTACTGCAGTGCTGAGAATGATCCACCACCCAAATACTACCTGCTCTGTGAGGGTCCATGGGGGTCCTGACCACTGAAGAACAGGGTAAAAGGGGGCTAACGTACACAGAGAAACAGATGGACTACAGTCTGTAACTGTAGAACTACAAAGTGCACCTATATAGTAAGTGGAGCTGATAAAATGGACAATGAGCGTAGAAACAAGGAGGTGGTCTTAATGTTATGCCGGTGTATCTGCATCGGGTACTGGTATCAGCATCAGCAAATGTACATGAAAAATATCAGATACTGACATCCAATACTGGTGCATCCCAAATTGGTACTGCAGTTTAGTCCAGAGAGGCTTAATCCATGTCCATGGAGCCGGCCCACAGGTCACATTACAGGTAGAGCAGCGTGTATTTAATGTATCATAATATGTAGTGAAATAGCCTCAATATTAGTCTCAGTACAAGTGTTTAAATTTTGTGCATCCCTAATACCAACACGGTCTCTGACATGGCCCAAAATATGTAGTGTTATTGGTGCTACAGTACTGAGAGGCACGGTGAACGACAGTTTGTCCTTCCCTTAACACAGTTTACACACACACACACACACACACACACACACACACAAAATAAATAAATGTCAGTTATGGCCTGTGATCATATTAGAAGCTATGCAATCTTCCACTACCAGAATTCTCTAGGTGCTGGTTACATATCTGAGTCTGAGGGTTCCCTTTATGCATAGCTTTATTACTGTACAGCATGATACGGCCTCTTATCGTGTTTTGGATGACCTACTATAGGCCACACTACTAGATCATAGTTATTTGCACATAACACTCATTTTTACATCACTCCCACTTAGGAGGCCGCAAAAGACCAAAGTGGTCCGTTTGCCAGACAGCACAATGAGCAGGGAGCAAACAGAGGAAGTATTGCTCCACACTCCAGCCTGGAGCGTACAATTACTCAGCTGAAACTCTACCCCAGAACTGCGCACTGAATGATACTCTATGATCTACTGACCATGGATCTGTTGTGGGATATAGGGAAAAGAAAAAAGGGGGGCGGGGTTACACATACTCAACGACATCAGATGAAATGAAGTGGACAACCCTCAGATTTCTCTTCACTTTGACGTCCTTCTGTCCCTTCATCTGTCCCTTTACGGTTTCTTGAATCTGTCCATGTTGCAACGAAGACTTCTACGTCTCTGCATCTATTCTATGTGCTGTGTTGTGAAGAGGAACATAAAAAGAAAATGAGAGCACTCCAAAAATGCTGGAATGAGAATGTTCTGGTAACAGGGGTGCATGATGACATGTAACGATAAGCTTTTCTGGGCGTATTGTGCATGCTGTCAGGACAAGAACACTGACACTGATCAAACATTAGAAAAATAACATTTTCATGATATACTAAAGCAATAAGCCACGAGAGGCCGTGGGTTACTGCGATTTCATCACGGGGAAGGGTGCCTAAAACTCCCTTCCCCGTGATAAAATCGCAGTAACCCTCGGCCTCTTTTGGCTTATTGCTTTTATAAAACGGTGGCCATCATAAAATATGTTAAAATACACAATGTTTTGGATAAGTCTGTAAGTTATTATTAATAATAATCGACAAAAACAAGTATTCTGCCAAGAAATGTAGTTCCAGTATCATTGCTAAGCAACCATGGACCGCTGAATGAGGAGAAGAACGTTCAGTCGTCAATCATTGTGAACTGCAGACATTTCATTATTTTTTAAAAAAAAATTTATATAACAGTGAACGTATGATAACTCAGCACTGTTAAATGCAAGTACTTTAGTTTATAAGTACTTTTTGGTCACCAAATTCTTCAGTCTGACGACACCACTTTTCTCACGCTGGGGCTGAATCTCAAACGGCTCCCTGCTCCCTACATAGTGCACTACGTAGGAATTTAAACACAGACTCCTGCAGCCCAACAGTGCAAAATATAGCTATAAATGTTCATTTGGGGTTCATTTGGGATTCATACTCGACAGACATGCACTATTTACAGCAGAGGCTAGAATTTCTAAACTTACTGTTACACAGCAAACTATTTAGGGAGTACGGAGCCGTTTGGGATTCAGGCTGGGTTTGACACTACTTCTGACCGAAACACGGACATTTGAAGCGTGTAACCCATTCAGGTGACGTTCTTTACACTTTCACTTTCATTTGCCGTTTTCCAGTGAATCATATCGTGAGTACTTTAATTCAAGCCTGTGATATTAATGTTGGCTAGCTGACCAGCCTGGTTCTAGATAAGAAAATAAGTTTTCAGCTGCTCAGTTTAAACGGGTTCTTACTTCATCGGTACACTCAGTGCTCTGTGTGATCAGCATTACAGTTAAAGATTAATCCATTAATAGCAGAAGGGTTTTTCGTGCTGTGGCGCAGTGATACAGAGTTCAGCTGTTGTGAGGCGGTCATAGCCATGGTATATCGTGGATTTTACAACGGCTTTGAACTGGGCTCAGCCAATCAGATTTTAGGACCGGAACTATCCGTTTTATAAATCACAGTATTTCATGATATCATATCTTTGCCACATCGTGCACTCAAATTTTGGAAGCTTTGCTGTACTCACATTGCTTGGGTATCCTAAGGGCTTCGGTGTCTCCGGACAGCACTTGGTGCATGACACCCCGGAACTGGTACAGCAGCTTCAGGCTCTTTTCCTCACCGACACATGGGTCATAGAATCCAGGCAAACCAGCCTGTGAGGCAAGAGATAAGACCTGTTATAAGCTAAACAGGCTGATAGTATTAGTGTGACTAGATGATCAAATGGTACTGTGATGGACGAGATGGTTGTCATATGCCTGACCTTTGAAGCCTCAGTGAGGATGAGCTTGGAATCCTTCACCAGGCACTGCAGAGGCACCGTCACATCAATGACCTTTGCCCGCTCCTGTTTCTGGCTGTTGTCAGTCACAAACTTGCCATACCAGGCATTTAAGATGATAAGACCTGTGAAGAAAGCATGTAGTAAAATACAGAATGACCCGTTTTTAAATTACTCTGCTTTACTGAGAGCTCTATTATTTTTCCCCTTGTTTGCTTCATGGTTATCAGCTCACCACAGCTGATACTTTATTAAGTGACCTTGAGCTTTGAAAAGGTGCTATATACTTATACATTTTAGGGTGTAGTGAATTCATAATTGTGCTGTTGTTATGGTGGAATTTCCAGAGGATCATAACCAAGACATGAACAGAAACAACCCAACCATGGCACACATTTATGAAACTTCTTGGAGTAATAATAATGATCTAGGATCAGTTTATGCTTTTTTATGTAACACTGAATAAAATTCCATGACGTGATGAGACCAGATCTTAAATTAAGCAATACAACACGAGAGGGAGTGTGTTATACGCGATAACACATGACCTCTAGTGTTCTATTGCTTTTATACAACAGTTAAATAAATAAAGTAATAAATTAATAAACTGGGCCGTGAGCGCGGCATTTAATATGTTTTAATGTTCACAGTTCCTTCACCAAATTATAGCTACTTAACAAGCAGCTGATTCCAGGTTGTTTAGCTGTTCTTCTGTCACAGCTGCCGACTGAAAAGCTGCTCAGTGGTGATGACAGTTTGGGAATTCAGTGTCGTCACATCTTCAGAGTCTGACCAAATCGGCTGTCGGTCAAATGTGATCTTAAAAGTGTCCATTTTCTGTTTGTGGCAAAGTAAGAAGTGAAAACGTTCAAATGGCTTGAGCGTCTCCTACAGCTGTCAAACTCGTTGCTTAGCAACAGCGTCTTAGCGGAGTTATATTGTGAAAAAACCGTGATGTTATGGTGAAATAACAGCACAGTTAGAACCAATCAGCTTGCATGGCTGGGACTGTTGTAGAATCAGTGTTCTAACTCTGAGATGCCTGATAAATGTGGGCCACTACTTCAAAATTTCATTTGACAGGAATTTAACCCAAAAATTAGAAGCTTTTAGTGACCCAAAAAAGGTTTCTCTGCACATATCATACCCATTTTGGACTCCTCTGCTTCAATGATTCTTCTCACTGACTCTTGCATTAGCAACACCTAGGAAAAAAAAACAACATAATTTACTAATTCTGCAGAAGCTCAACATCGTAACCATTACCTTAACAACAACTCACTGCAGATTCGGCCTCGTGCTTCTTCTTGGCAATATCTGAAGCAGAGTCGACTCTTTGCTTCTCCAGCTCCCTAGACAGAGTAAAAGTAACGTAAATGATTTCACAACTGGGATTAACGGCATTATCATTACAAAAGATATGATTACAGCACAGTGCCTGAAAGCAAACTTACTGTTCCTTCTGGGCGCGTACATAAGGTGTGATTATAAGTTTCTGAACTGCTAAATAGACGACAACAGGGCCCACAGTGGCGTAAAATACAGCGCTGGGTAAAATTTGGTCTGTCAGGTGGATGGGGAAGAGGTAGGTTTGACTGGCCCGATTCAACCTGGGGAGCGCAAAGAACATACAAGAACTCAATAAGTCAGAGAGTCTGACCAGACTGACACTGTCAAACATTAACTGCATCTCATACAAAATTAAAATCTTCAACAGCCCAACATTTAACAATGAGGTAAAAGTGAAAGGACTCTTCGGTACTCTAAGTAGAACCAAAGGGTTAGAATTTATTATTTATGCCAGGCTATTTTAAAGCAGGTTTCAGCTCAAAACTCTTCACTTTCTTATGTAACCACATGAATAATCCTTAGTAATAGGAAAGATGACCCTTTAGCAATGGTGGACGAAGTACACAAATCATGTACTTGAGTTAAAGTAGAGATACCCAAGGTAAAATATCACTCCAGTAAAAGCAGAAAGTTCCTCCCTTTAGACCTCCACTTGAGTAAAGTACAAAAGTATTTGCCTTCAAATGTACTTAAGTATCGAAAGTAAAAGTACTAAAAGATTAATTATGACTCATTTTAGGTGAAAATACTCCAGTGTCACTCTTGGTAAACCATTTTTTTAATAGATTGTCATTAATTAGCCTGACACTGATGTCTATTAAAATGATCGTAAGCACAAAATACTGAAGGCAAACAGTTTCCATTAGGTAGAACTGAGTGACTCTGAAATAACTTTTTACAAACAAGCAAAGTTTCAGTTTAAGATTTATTTAACTTAGTTTAAATAAAAATAAAAAAGTTTAAGTTTAATAAAAACTTGCTTTAAACACAGGATCACAAATGAGTTTTCCTTTACTAAACTGCATCTGTAGGTCTCTGTTCATAAACATAAACTATCCAAAACAAATTTACTATAAAATGAAATAGCGTTTAGTGTATAATTTTAGAAAAAAGAAACACGTCAGTCACAACTGCATATGTGTACAAATTTCTATATTGTGGTCTATTTACACAAAGTTAGGTTAGTTCATCATTTATGTTGAATAGACACTTCCAAAATTTTACGCTGCTGCACTGATGCTGAACCGTGTGCTGCACTGCGTTTTTACTTCTTACTTTGCGCACAAACAGAAAATGGACACTTTTAATGGATACTTCTTTTCCCCTCAAAACAAAGTGAGCGCTGTGCCGATTGGTGTTCTTGCTTCGCGCTTCTTTTGTTTTCACGTTACGTTTTTATACACACATAAACTAAAAGGAACGACAGATTTCTCATAATGTAGTGCAGTAAAAAGTAAGATATTTGACTCTGAAATGTGGTGGAGTGAAAGTTAAAAGTCGCCCAAAATGGAAAAACCTCAGTGAAAGTACAGATACATGAAAAAACGACTTAAGTACAGAAACGAATTACATTTACTTCATTACTGTCCACCACTGCCCTTTAGGAATGAGGTCAAATGAGTTTTCTTGGTCTTGCAAGCTATGGATGATAGGCGTGATAGGGAAATTTGAATAAATACACCCTTAATTAATGAGTAAATAGATTAGAATATGTGATTAAATATCAAATAGTTAAGCATTGGCTAAAAGGATATATTAATGTCTTACTAAGAGGCAATATAGGATGCATTAGGCCATAGTCTGCCTGTTCGGGGGCTTTCCAAAGTAGATGAACTTAGATGACCTTACTTGCAGGTGCACGCTCAGTGAACTCATATGAGTCCTTATGATATATGGTTCAGTGGGGCCAACTGAACATACAAACTGGCTGAGAAGAGCTTTTGAGAAGGAGTGTCGTATACATGAGACACATTATGTAAACCTAATGTAGGGGTTTTGTATGCAATGGGACCAAATGGAACACAGAAAACTGTCAGAACACTGTATTTGTGCAGTTGGGTCTCTCGAGACCCTGTGCCATCTGATGCTGGAATAAAGAAGAAGCCCTTTTCCCTTTTTCCACGAACTCAGCATCTGAAGACTTTTTTCCTTTTGACATCTTTTGAGAACTTAGAATTAAAACAGTTCTTAGTGTTAGTGTTTAGCCGGTATTAAAGATTTCTTCTTTATTTAATAACATTATGTTGGAGGCCTGGGGTTGAAGGCGATAGCCCTTGGTACCGACAGGCGTCACAACATTCGTTCATTGTTACTGTGCATCAGTAGACAGAGAGCCTAACCTGATTTTAAGGGAGACTCCTTGGGGTACCCCAATGGTGACTGTTGCTGACAGCACACTATGCCTGCTGATCTTCCTCTCTGCGCCATATTCCACCACTGTCCCAAAGAAGCCAGTCCTGAAGCAGGAAAGCATCAAGATCAGAAAAGGATTAGACACTGTGTTCTTACATTTGAGCTTTTAATGCTTAGTTTATATCAGTGGCCCCAGCCCTGATCCTGGAGTATTACTGACATACATATTTTAGTGTTTGCCCTGCTCTAACATGCCTGATCTAACAAATCAGCTGATTAAAAAGCCATTTCTCAGCTGAAATTGGTGTGTTAAAGCAAAGAAAACAGCAGAGAAAAAGCAGAGAAATGTCCAGAACAGAGGTTCACCAGGACTAGGGTTATGAACACAACATTGTTTTATGAAACCATCAGAGAGGATGAAGCCTACTTGACAGAACCCTTGACCTTGGTCTGGTCTTCATCTTGGAATTTGTACTGATAGCTCATCATCAAGTACGAATGGGGCACACCAAGCTGTGCAACAGAAAGAATAGGGGAGTGGGTCATTTTCTCATTTGCTTTCAAACAGTCTTTCACTTTCCTCAGCTAAGTCATGGTGTGCATGCCTCACCTGTAGGGCCAGGGTGAAATGGCTGGTCTTGGTGTCTCGTACAATGCTGGTGGTCATGGCTGATTCACTGCCCCAACGCCACTGCAGGTAACCCATAGTATTCTGGTCCAAGTGCCGAGCCATCATGGTGCTGGCACTGGGCCGCACGCCACGTGAGGAAAACTGCATGCCGCACTGAGCGGTCACAAAGCTAGCAGGCACATGAACACGAGAGAGAATAATTGTGTATATTAATGACCATGTTAATACCAATAAATAAACCATACTATTAAATAAACAGTTTGGGAAAAATACAAAGTTCACAGTTTTCCTCTATTATCCCAAATGTAGCCAAGACATGTTTGGAGCTCAGAAGTTTGCTTTTTGGTTTTGCACTGGAGCTGCAAAGCTAATGTAGCCAATAGGTACCTGCATGCCTCAAAATAGACAGATGCAATCCCCAAAATAATTGCTTGTGAAGTTTCTGACACTATATTACATACTGTAATATATTAAATTGGACAAAAGTACATTGCACAGCAAAAAAATGGCAACCATCTTGCATCACACGTCTGTACTTTTAATTTTATAATGAATGCTAATTGATGGAGCATAATGTTTGATTACTTGGCAGCCACTTTAGCCTCATAGCTCAAGTGGAACACCAAAGAAGCAAACTCTGGACAACAAATGTGTCTTGGCTGATCGACTTTGTGTCGGGTAAGAGGCAAACAGCGAAAACCTGATTATTCAATTAGGATTTATACCAAATGTCCCTTTCACTCTTACAAAAAACATGCTCACTAACCAGCGTGCGGTCACATTCCGGAAGACTTTCATTCCAAAAAGAGGTCCCCGAATGTCTCCTGCCCCAAACTCCAGCTGAACACATAGCCATGAAAGAGAGGAAAAAAAGAGATAAGTCAGACAACACAAGATAACAGTTCTTATCTTCAAGTGAGATATGAATGTGATAGAATCCTACCTCTCCCCAACCCCTTGTAGAGGTGACCCGTCGCAAACACAGGTTGATATTACCTCCGCCATTACCGTTGTGTGTGGTCAGAGAGCCTGAGAGGACGGCTGTGTCTGTGGTGGTTAAGGGGGCCTAGAATATATAAACACAGCCATGTACTCTGTAATAAAAACAAGGTCAGGCTGTACTCTATAATAAGAGCGTAGCCCAACACACATCCAGCACGTAGCGTAAGTACGCAGAGTGGTCATAAGGCTTCATTTACCTCGATAGACTGTGATATGTGCATCCTGTTGATCTCAATGTGTGGGAACCCTCCTCCCGGCATTTCCTCAAAATCCTCCTCGTAGCGGTCAAACAGGTCTGTGGCATCTATGCCCACACTTATGGTCCCCTAAATAAACAAAAACATACAGAGTAGTTGCAACCACTGGGGAGGGTCCCTTAAGGGCACATCTCAGTACATCTCAGTACCTTTAGTCAGGGAACATATCTGTACCATAATCCACTGAAATGATATTTTCTAAGCTGTACTGTGACTCCACACACCCCGTCTCGTCTCCAGGCTTATTTTACTGTTCTGTTTTAAAACATTTGGTTATGAAAAGGTACAAATATGAACTTTTCACTTGGAAAAAACATATTTTAGGTACACAGTTAGACCTTAAAACCACTGTTGTACCTTTGAGGGAACATTTACATTGTTTGTACACTGAAGAAGGAAAAATGTACCTGCAAAGCACCTTTATTTCTAACAGTTTAATGAGCAATATATATATTTCACTCAGAGGTTTGAGTCATCATGAGAGAGAAAGCAAACAAACTCAATATCTCAGTATCTCAACTACTAGTCCACGTTCCATTACTTTAGAACATTTTCTCACTACAGATGTCCTGATGTGATCTAAAAGAAAGTCGATCAATCAATTTAATGGATCAGTATTAGGTATATTTAGATCTAAGGCTTTTTTACCCCCTTGTGCACCATTTACGCCACTGTTGTAGAGGTTCCATAAAGACATTATCCACTGAGGCACATTTTCAGAAGTTTACAAGTAGTTTAAATGTCTGCAGTGTGGAACTATTTTAATGGGGGAAATAAAAACTTCTGCACTTCTGATTTAACTGTAGTTAAGGTAGCTGCCTTGGCCAAAACCTGGTTAAACTAGCCAGACAGAAAACGTGAGTGTATCTGAAACATTTAGTAGTCAGACCAGCAGGTAACAGCAGGATCAAAGCCAAGAGAATCTGAAATATAAAATTACTGTATTCAATACACCACAAAAATCTATATCACTTCAAAATGTGTCACTGTGCAATGATGAAAATGAGGTGATCTCACTGGATAGCATTTTTAAGTAACTGGCAACCTAGCATATTTTACCTAAACTAGATTGGTTGTCTAACTTAATGTAGATGAAGTGCACAGTTTGTGTCAGTATTATCTACTAATCTATACCCAGATATTCAATATAAAAGGGCCCATATCCTACATATTTTTGTATTTTCTCCCCCTGAGCTCTGCTTATGATGTTTGTATGGTTTGTGTACCAAAACAGCCATAATTCATCTTTACATACAAGTAAACAGGCTGTTTTTGTTACTGTACTTTTAACTGTTTTTGTTTAACTGTACCTGATGTATGTAAAAAAAACCTCATTCAAAAAGTAATTTGAGCTGAAACACTTTTTATAACATCAGTCTGATTTGCTGGGATATAAGCTGAGGGATATAGGTATAAGCTGAGGGATATAGTTATAAGCTGAGGGGTACAGGTATAAGCTGAGGGATAAAGGTATAAGCTGAGGGATAAAGGTATAAACTGAGGGGTATAGGTATAAGCTGAGGGATATAGGTATAAACTGAGGGGTATAGGTATAAGATGGGGGATATAGGTATAAGATGGGGGATATAGGTATAAGCTGAGGGATAAAGGTATAAGATGGGGGATATAGGTATAAGATGGGGGATATAGGTATAAGCTGAGGGATATAGGTATAAGATGGGGGATATAGGTAAAAGATGGGGGATATAGGTATAAGATGAGGGGATATAAGTATAAGCTGGGGGATATAGGTATAAGCTGAGGGATATAGGTAAAAGATGGGGGATATAGGTATAAGATGGGGGATATCGGTATAAGCTGAGGGATATAGGTATAAGATGGGGGATATAGGTAAAAGATGGGAGATATAGGTATAAGATGGGGGATATAGGTAAAAGATGGGGGATATAGGTATAAGATGGGGGATATCGGTATAAGCTGAGGGATATAGGTATAAGATGGGGGATATAGGTATAAGCTGAGGGATATAGGTATAAAATGGGGGATATAGGTATAAGATGGGGGATATAGGTATAAATTGAGGGGTATAGGTATAAACTGAGGGATATAGGTATAAGATGGGGGATATAGGTATAAACTGAGGGGTATAGGTATAAGATGGGGGATATAGGTATAAGATGGGGGATATAGGTATAAACCGAGGGGTACAGGTATAAGATGAGGGGTATAGGTATAATCTGGGGGATACAGGTAAATGCTCTGGTTTTTATGATATCACAGAAGCAATGGATTCAAAACGGTCAGTTCTTAAAGCTTAGTTTCCATGTATGGACTGCATGTACTGGGGAGTGAATAGTATGTTTTGACACTTTAGGAATGTTTACATACTACATCAATGCAAACATGGTCAATTTAAAGTACTCAAATGGGACTAAAGGCAAAAGAACTTTATCAGGAAATTCCTAATTATCATAACCATCATAAGCTCAGTTACCACTACAGTAGCCTTATCCATAGCTGGTCTTACACAGATCTCTGATGTTATTCTAATTAGAAGAGTAGCTTTTCGATGTTTGACACTTATTTGAACCACTATTTATTAAATGATGTTTTGGTTTGGGTTTTCACTTGGATGTACAGAATGTTATTTAATGCACTTCTGTGTTTTGCAGTGACATTTTATAAACCTGAACCTCGAAACTTGAATCGGCTGGCCAAGGTGACTGTTATTGCCATGTGACAATGAAACATCAAACCAGGGACGCTGTTTTTAGACGAGCTCACCCCCTCCGGGTCACCAGCTTGATCATTAATTGATCTCTTCGAAACCACCAGCAAACTAGTGCCATTTCCAAGTGAACTCTGTTATGCCACAGGCCTGACTGTGAAGTGCTTTAATCAAAGCAGAACAGCGTGAGCTACCTTGGGATTAGTTCTCTGCTGTAGCCTCCTCTCGTCCCTCTCCCTCTGCAGGCGCTCATACTCCTCCCTGATCTCTGCAGGGGTTCTTTTCCTCTCCACGATCTAAAAATAACAAAGACTCCTTAATCTGCCATTCACTGCTATTTACAACACCGTTCAGAAGTTTGGATCCCATATTTTCAACAAAAAATAATTGTTGCAAATAAATGTAGAAAACTATTCTAATATGTTTGTCCTGAAAAACTTCAAAAGTTTCAAATGATTACTAGGCAATAAATAACTTAATTAATTAATTAATTAATTAATAAAATAAAATAAAATAAAATAAAATAAAAATAAAAATATGAGATGTCCAGTGTCCAGAATGATGAAGAAAGCTGTAAATGATTCTAAGTTTTTCACTGATCAGGCTTAATATTATGACCACCTCAGTGTTACTGCTGGACTGAGAATAGTCCACCAGCCAAAAATATCCAGCCAACAGCGTCCTGTGACCACTGATGAAGGACTAGAGGATGACCAACACAAACTGTGCTCAGTGGTCAGGACCCCCATGGACCCTCACAGAGCAGGTACTATTTGGGTGGTGGATCATTCTCAGCACTGCAGTAACACTGACGTGGTGGTGGTGTGTTAGTGTGTGTTGTGCTGGTCCGAGTGGATCAGACACAGCAGAGCTGCTGGAGTTTTTAAACACCTCAGTGTCACTGCTGGACTGAGAATAGTCCACCAACCAAAAATATCCAGCCAACAGCGTCCTGTGGGCAGCGTCCTGTGACCACTGATGAAGGACTAAGGATGACCAACACAAACCGTGCAGCAGCAGATGAGCTATCGTCTCTGACTTTACATCTACAAGGTGGACTGATGAGGTAGGAGTGTCTAATAGAGTGGACAGTGAGTGGACACAGTGTTTAAAAACTCCAGCAGCACTGCTGTGTCTGATTCACTCAGACCAGCACAACACACACTAACACACCACCACCACATCAGTGCTGAGAATGATCCACCACCCAAATACTACCTGCTCTGTGAGGGTCCATGGGGGTCCTGACCACTGAAGAACAGGGTAAAAGGGGGCTAACAAAGTATGCAGAGAAACAGATGGACTACAGTCTGTAACTGTAGAACTACAAAGTGCACCTATATAGTAAGCGGAGCTGATAAAATGGACAATGAGTGTAGAAACAAGGAGGTGGTCGTAATGTTTTTCCTGATTGGTGTATATTACTTATCATTGAATAACTTCTTGTTGTATTGAGTAAAGCTTCTAGAAATATGCTGTCTACTTTATAATATTTAAACCTGCACTGTACAAACCTGTTCATCTGAGCATCAGTGATATTTGGCCTTCAGATCTTACCTCCCATCCTTCCACTTCCAGTCCTTTCTTCCCAAAAATGTCATATATGGCTCGAGACTGTGGGTCACTAAGGACTAAGCAGAGTGAAGATGGATAGTGTTGATTTGAAAGACAATGTAATTCAGTTCCAGCACACCAGGGCTTACATCAACAGTCTAAGTGTATAAAGTGCAGTAAAAGTGCAGGTGTGAGTGACCTTCATAAGCTCTGTGAACGAGGTTGAATAGCTGCTCGGCCTGCCTCTTGAGCTCAGGGTCTCTGTGCTTGTCTGGGTGGTACAGCATGCAGAGCCGCCGGTAGGAGCACTTCAACTCCTCCTGGCTCGCCTGGGGATCAACATCACAGCAGCTTTAAAAGAACAACTTACAAAGCCTACAAAAACAGAAGAGGTTAAGGACCACCCACCAACACTCAAGCTCTTGGATGTAACCACAGCAAGCATACAAGTCCTAGTTGAGCATGTTTTTATAGTTCTACTGTGTTTAAAACAGCTTTAAAAATGCTCATCTTGCAGACTCTTTCACAAAATGTCTACTGGTTGAAGTCTACTAGATATTTTTCACTAAATGCTATTGTGTCAAAACAGATAAGTAGGTAAAAAATATTAAAGATAGAGACATCCTCTGGTTTTTTTGTACAACTTTCAGTTTCTAAAGATGTAATGATTTCAATACGGTATCAAAACATAAAAAAATAAACAGGTGAAACGGTTATATGTGATAATGACATGCGAGCCATGAGCTCATACACTCTTATGAAGAGCGTGCTTTTCCTCTCTGCTCTTGATTTTGAGGTAAAAAGGAGGACTACTTTCACAGGAGCGATGATGTGCCCTCATTGTGGGCTTGTTTGTTTAATTTTCTCACGCAATATAATCATATTAAGTTCTTCATTTGCTCCAGTTCGTTAAACGTATTGTGCAACGCCTCTCAGGGATATTAGATTTAACTAAAACTGATACAAAAACAAAAACTAGCAATGAAAAAATTCACTCCTTAACTGTAATAAAAATAAAGAAGTTTTTAAAAAGACAAAACCTGATTCAAAACTATAACGTCCACTACAAAAATTAAAGGAAATTAAATGAATGAGAAAAAAAGTCTTGGTTTTTTTCAGTGCGTGAAAGAAAGTTTAGAAGGGGATCCTTTCTGTGTTTGGCTGGAGCCGAACAATTCTCTGTTTACTGATATTTCTTCTACGTTGATCAGATGCTTCCCATAACAGTGTTCATCATCATATTAAAAACTACAACTAGATAAAAACTATACTAAAACTATTACTTTTTCAGAAAATAATACATGAATAATAAACTATTAATGCACCCTTAAAACTAACTAACTGAAAACAAAAACCAAAATGAAAAACTAAAAATAAAAACTAACTACATTTTTAAAACTTATAATAACCCTGATGCCTGTGAAAAGTGAGACTCGTACTGAAGTACAATAGGATATGTTGTACCATTGCACTACTACTATTGTTGTATTGTTTATAGCAGCTAAACTGCATTTATCCCTATTGTGCACCAGGATGTGGTGCTTTAAATCTTGTTTTGAAATAAAATATGTGTTCTGAGTTAAACTGATCTGTGTAGCATATTTGAGCTAGAGAAGACATTTCTGGCAAATATAGCACTGAAAACTGACCCCAGAAGAATTAAAAATCACACAAAATCTGAAACTAAGTGTATCGTTACACCTCTCTTTTTCACGCTGTCACCTCTATGGACATACAGTGAAAAAATTACTGAGCCCCTCTGACATCTTTCAGCTTTCTGAGATATTCACGGGTTAAATTTTAGTAAATATCATAAATATTAACTGTATAACAAATATAAATATTATAAAGGTTATAAACATTTAATTATAATATAATATGTATATTACAGTATTATAATGAGTAATAGTATCTCACGGTGACTGTGTTATTTAACCTTTTCAACTCCTTGGGACCACCGGTGGCTCCAAAACACACTTCGTCATATTCTTCGTAACAGATTTCATAAGCTACATTCAAAAGGTGGGGGTCGTATGAGAGCTGTAACTCGTCTTTCCAGTCAAATAGATAAAATAAATAATTTTAAACCCTTATAATAAAAAAATGCTGAACTCACAATTTTTTTTTCTACTGAAAGTCGACCCATTTTTCCACAAATCTGGGCTATAAACTATAAACAGATGGCGTCTCTTCAGTGATCTGCTCTGTAAACATTATTTTTTATAAAATAATACAAAGAGCGTCTAAGATTTTTGGCTTTCAGCGGTAAATTGTAAGCATATAGCAATATGTGTGATCATAAAACACATGTTCTGTTAATTTGAGGGGAGCTTTTACAAAAAAATAAATAAATAAAATAAAAAATGACATTTATTTCATGCAGTTACTGAATAATTAGCCTTACAGTTTGGCCATGTAAATTCAGATGGACAAACCAAAACATACCCTGGAGAATAAGAGATTAAAACACATTTAAAAGGTACTACAAAATATTCAGGATGATATTCAGGACATTCTGGACAGCGCAGACCTGCCAATCGACCATAACAGCTGATTTACCATGTGCAAAAAGATGAAATTCGACAATAGCTTTAAACGAACACTTTAAAAAAGACTTCAAAAGCATCTGCGGAGTACAGCAGTGAACGGACGCAGACAGACAGCAGCTTATAGGTTACAGTAACCGATGAGATCTGAAGGGTCAACATTCATCTGAGCTTATGAAGCTTCCGTCACGCAATTCTGCAGCCGCAGGCGCTGGACTGTCCGCGATAAAAGACGTGGGTATGAGTGCATCTCACCTCTCTCCTCACATTCAGGAGCGAATAATAATCTTCGTTGTCTATTTCTAATTCATTTTCCAAGGCAGCTGCCATGTTTCCGCCGCTCGCCCACTCGCCCCGCCTGGAGAAGCCCACTGATGCGGGGCTGCTGCCACCGTGCGTTGCGGAGTGGACGAGTAGTAACGTCAGCCGGTTGCATGTTTAGCTAAGTTACTAAGTTCAGCTTTACACATATTATTTATTAACTTAAAACTCTCCTCACCACAGTTACTATTAACTAGGCAGTATTTCTAAAGCCGCTTTCCTCCATAGATATACATGCCTAGATGCTGCATTGTCTGTTGTTCTCTATCTGAGGCGATACGTCTGCGCGGCCGCCATGTTGGAGAGGTCAAGATCCGCTTGTGAACAAATTCACTTGTACAGAGAGACGAAGAGTCTCAGGATTAAATCGGCCACAACTTCCTTATTACTCAACCGATTTCCACCAAATCTGTTTTGTTATAATCCTCAGACACAGATTAATCTAGGCTGCACGGACCGCTCTCAGTAGCTTTTATTTTTTTTAGTAACTGGTCGTGCTAATTCGCCGTCCGGACCAGCAGGAAAGTATTTAGTCTGCACCTGACGTTAAAACCGAGTTTAACGGTTAAAACACAAACTCACACACATGTCAGCAAATCCATCAATGTGTGAATCACTTCTAATCTTAAATAAAATAAAATAACCCCCCAAAACACACTAAGAAGGACGAAGCTAAAGTTGGCTTCCTATTCGCCAGCTTCTTAATTGTTTGAGTTTTCCCGTTCCACCTTAAATGATGCAGCAGTCACTTTCTGGTGCCTGAAGCTGCACCATTTAAGGTGGAATGGGAAAATTCGACGAAGATGCTGGCAAATAAGAAGCTGATTTCAGGTTTGTGCAAGAAGGTGCTAACGTTAATCTATTATGAATATCGGATTAAGGAATGCTATAATTTGCCACTACAAAGCTTTAACCATCATTGTAAATAAACAACTACTACATAAAGTTAAGATCCCCTGAACTAACTATTAAATAAAATAAGCTTAATATAAAACCAGAGGAAAAACAATCACATCAACAGGTTCTCTGTGCTTCACCGACCACACAGCCATATCTACATAAACATCACACAAACAATACACATCACACAAACATGAGTGTGGATCACTGCGTTATATAATCCTATCCCACTTTCTGAGAGCAACATTCTTGAAACTGTATAATTTGGACAGTACCTTTCCTAAACTGCTGCTCTGTAATGGTACTGAATGCAGTCCAGCAGTGATGTTGACCGCCCTAAAATGGCGGTCTAGGTCTGTACATCTATGGCTTTCCTCTAGAACCAGTGTAGCTAAGTAACAACAAGCACAAGCAAACGGCAAACAAGGTTCGTAGGTAAAGCCTAAGTTACCTGTGTGCTCTGGTTTAATTTCCAGGTCTGTTTTTGATAACCTGAAGCTCTTTTAACAGCTACAACTCCAGACATAATGCCTAGACTTAGAGACTGATTCGTTTTGACTGTTGACTAATAACCGTTATTTTAAAATTCAAAAAAATTAAGCTGTCACGCGAAACAGAGAAACAACTAGCTGTTTAAATAAACCAGCGAGATTATAAATATTTCATTCAGTTCAATATTAAATACCTGACCGTGAACGCACTGTTGGGTTCAGTACTGTTTTATACACTGGCAGTCAAACATAACTGCTCTCATGCAGGTATTTAATACAAGTTACTGATGTTCAGCAGCTTTTAGTGTTGATCCTGTGTGTTCACTTTTCAAAATGTCTGCATAATTAAATGGTTGAGATGTAAACAAAGTCATTCAGAGTGGTTTGGTGTAAAATGCTTCGTTCTAGAGAAACTTACTGAGTCAGAATTGTGTACAGTGGTGGTGATAGGAACCAGACGTCTTAAGTGTTCAGTGCCTCTAAAAGCTACACACAGACAGGTTTTCCATGTTCACTGGTGATGTTGAATTGTAAATAAAATGGTTATATTTGTCTTGTTGATATGGTGACCCCTGGTTCCTATCACCACCACTGTAAAGAAATCTGAGCCTGTAAGTTTGTCTACAAATGAACCATTTCACATCAAACCACTGTCCATGACTTTGTTTACATCTCAATCACTGAATTATGCACTGAATATATTTCCCTTTAAAGGGAAATTCCCTCAATTTTTCCTAATTTCTGCATAAATTAGTTAACATGCTGACGTAACAAAGTCATTCAGAGTAGGGACCAGATGTCGCCATGTCCACAGCACAAATATAGCCATTTTATTTACCATTCAAAACAACTAGTGAGTTTTTATATGTAATGTTGATGATGGTAAAGTAGTTATCTAGAAAGTTAATCTAGAAATCTGGACTTGGTAAGTTTCTCTAGAATGGTACTTTCACTTTGTTTACACCTTAACGACTTAATTATACAGAAATTCTGAAATTTCAATGGGATTCTCCTTTAAAGCAGGAAAAACACAACAAATGATGGACATTCCAACAAGACAATACAAGGTGGCACACAAAACTCAGGCAAAATTTCAAACACATTGATAGCTTGTGGGACTTCGTTGAGAAATATGTGGAGAAGGAAAAACCTAAAAACTATTGATAGTCTTTGTAAAGCAGTGGGAAACTGTTATTTAAAAAATTAAAAACTTTAGGGAAATCTCACCAAGCAGTGTGAGGTCTTCTAGACTTGAGGACCTACAACATGCTTATAAATCACAATGTCTAAAAAAATTGCTCAGTGTATTTTTCATGGGCTACAAATTGATGTGAATTTGAGTTTCAACGTGTTAAATTTCATGGATTTTCTGCAAATTCTGCCATTGAGATGTTAAGAAGGTGATTCAGAGTGGTTTGATGTGAAATAGTGCATAGTAAAAACTTCTTCAGAATAGGTGTGATAAAAATCAGAAGCCGCAATGAACAAAATTATATCATTTAAGTTTATAAATATAATTATAATTTATTTACTACTGGGTAAGATGTTACCAGCAAATTTTGGAATGGTATTACTCATGCAGTATTCATTACATGGTGCGTGTGTATATATATCTATATATATATATATATATATATATATATATATATATATATATATATATATATTTATATATATACACAACCCCAGTTGGGACACTGTGCTGAATCTAAATAAATATAGGATGCAATGATATGCATGATATGACATTTTTGAAACTGAGAAATTTGATTGTTTTTTGAAAAATATATGCCCATTTTGAATTTGATGCCGACAACACGTTCCAAAAAAGCTTCTCCCTTACATACAGAGATTTCTTCAGATTCCCTGAATCTTTTGATGATATTATGTACTGTAGATGATGAAAAGCAAAAGTTCTTTGCTATTTTACATTTAGAAACATTATTCTTGAATTGTTGCACTATTTGATCGTGCAGTCTTTCACAGAGCGGTGAACCCCTCCTCATCTTTACTTCTGAAAGACTCAGCCTCTCTGGTATGCTTTTTTTATACCCAATCATGTTATTGACCTGTTGCCAATTAACCACCAGGTGTGTCCCAACTTTTTTGGAACGTGTTGTTGGCGTCAAATTCAAAATGGGCATATACTTTTCAAAAAACAATAAAATTTCTCTGTTTCAACATTTGATTTGTTGTCTTTGTACTATTTTCAATGAAATATAGGGTTTAAATGATTTGCACATCATTGCATTTTGTTTTTATTTACATTTTGCACAGCATCCCAACCTTTTTGGAAATGGGGGTGTATATATGTTGAATAATAAAATAATAAATAACACAAACTGTGTACTACAATTTGCAGTGCAATTCTTATTTAACTTTATTCCCTGTAGAGGTTATAGAGGTTATGTTATTTTTATACTTAGAAAATCAACAAAGCATTTCATTTGACAGGGGTGTTCAAACTTTTGCACATGACTGTATGCCTGGAGAACGAACATGAAATATTTATCTTTTGTTTGACTTGAATTTCAGTGCTGATGAATGTAAGTGAGGAGCATGGTTAAAATGGCTGGACGTGTCCTTGATCCACCTCAGTTACTCCAATGCAACTCTTGCTAACTTGAATGTCATTATTTGATTATATAAGAAAAATCCCATAGTTTTTTGCAGCAATTTGACATTGTACACTTCAAAAGGATAGCTCTTCAGGGGTTCTTTAGTAAAGGCAGTGGTTCTATTTAGAACCATGAATTCTACATAGAACCATTTCATGCTTAAATGGCTCTTTGCATGGTGAAATGGTTCATCAGACTGATAGAGAATGTGTTGCATATGATTCTATATACAGCCTTTCTGAAAATGGTTCTATATGTTTCCAAAAATGGCTCTTTTATTGTTACACATTTGACATTGTAACAACAGAAGAACCATTGGTAACACTTTACTGTAGGGTGCTGTTTATAAGGCTACATGACACCTACATAAGCTTGTCATGACAACTGAAAGAACCCTACAGAAATGCTTATAAATGCTCATTTCAATAGGCGTCATCTGTCATAAAGACTAGGTCACATTGATCAAAACTGGAAAATGTAACCTTTATAGTGAATTGGAATAATCATTTATAAAAAGTTATGTAGGGTTATATCAGTTGTTATGACAAGCTTATGTAGGTGTTGTAAAGCCTTATTACCAGGACCTCACAGTATTTTATTTTAAAGTTAACATGGATTGCTAAACATTGCACATCCATACTGTAACATATATCTGAGTGAAACGCAGCATCAAGGAGGGTCTCTGAGCTAGCTGAGCATTTTTGCTCAATCATGAAAATGATTGGGAATGGAAAAGGGGGAGTGAAGCAAGATATTATTGGTTAATATTATTTTTCCTCATCTGTTGGTGCACAATGATGTAATCAAAACTCAAAATATGTTTTAGCAGTGGGTTAAAGTCACTATGCTTTGATAGAAAATTACAGCAAAACAAGAATTTTGTCTTTGTAATGTGAATTTCATTTTCAGATTGACTTCAAATAAATGGTGTGGCTAAATTTGCTTCTGAAGAAATGGTATGGCTCATTAGATTTGTTTCGACTTACATCGGGAGTCTCCAGTTGATCAGGGATAACATCTCAGACTCGCATTATCTGTGTTTTTCCAGGCTGTGTCTTGCGAGGTAACTTGGTAAGAAATTTCTTCCCAGAAACATGAGTCTGCAGATTTGGTATTGACAAACAGCCGGTGTTTACGTATCGTAAGGTACTACTGTTCACACAAGCATAGATATTTTTACATTATTACTGTTCACAGAACACCATCAATGCCATTCGCACTCAGCTACACTATATGCCCAACAACATCTTCATCCAATGTTTCTTCTGAAATCAAGGGTATTAAAAGGCTGCACTTTACTGCAGTAACAGCCTTGGCTCCTCTGGGATTGCCTTGACACTAACAGTGCTGTGAGGATTTCATTGCATTTAGCCACAGTAATATTACTGAGTCTGGTTCTGATGATTAGTCCAGGGTGACAGCTAATCCAAAATGTATTGGATGGAGCTCCAACCAGAGAACACTACCAGAGGTCCACTGTTCCACGGCCCAGTGCTGGGGGGCTTTATACCTCTCTAGCTGACGCCTGGCATTGGACATGTGCAACTGCTCCAGAGTGACCCATTCTATTGCCAGTGCTTTTTAATGGGAACTTCAGGGCCAGCAGTAAGTGCACTTTAAAGTGATTGAACTCACTACTTAAAAGGGGTGTCTGCATACTTTTGGACATATAGTATGATGAGTCTCAAATCTCAAATGTGCAATCTGCTGGAAATATATTGCCTACCATGACTTTATTACAGACTTTTATCTTTCAGTGTTGTCCTATATCAATATGCACTTTCTAATGTGATAGCTAAATAGAATGTGTATTAAATCAGACCAATTACTCACATTACCATAAAACATAAACATAAAGCCCAAAAATAAATGCTGTTAGATTTTCAAGTGGGATTTGCTGAAGTAGGTTCCTCTGTAATAACAGCACCTTGTTTCGACATTTTCCCCATAGAGAGAGAAGCTGAGTCAACGTTACAAGGGTCGGGATTTCAAGGCCCTCTCCCATACATCACATTGTCATACATTATCATTTTAGTTGAAGAAAACTCCACAGAAGAGCTCAGCGTTATTTTCTCGAACCAATTCAATTTGCTGCAATACCAGGAGTATTTTTTCGGCCCAAAATTGCACGTTTCAGATGCCACCCCATATTAGCAGCTATGGCTATGAGCTGCTGTTTGATTAAGGCTGTGCTAACACATGGGAAGACATAGACTTATTCTTTTTCCAGCACTCACTGGGCATCTCACACCATTTAACAGGATTAGAGAGAGAGAGAGAGAGAGAGAGAGAGAGAGGCAGTGAATAGAAACGATGCTTGTTGTAATAAGAACAGGGTTTGCCTATGTCTGTATACCTAATGTCAGTGTGCGAGTCTATCCATATAGGATCAATACAGGACATATTATCGTATAGGATGGCAAGTTAGGTCAAGAGGAACAGTGCGGCAGGTATTATGGGATGCACATACCATAGGCATTGCTTTGTTTTTGCACTTAAGTAGCATATTTATTATCTATTTGCAATATTTCCTCGGGTATTAATGCATTTCGGGGCATGAAGAGAGACTGTGTGAGACAATATGTTAGACAATATGGGACAAGCATGCCATAGGCTGTGAATAATTAAGCTGTCTTTTTTCAGATCCCAGCTAAAAGTGACTTTCATTTAATTAGCCTTTTTACAGTGTTTCCCTTCGCTCATTTATGAAGAATTATCAAGTAAACATCTGCTGAAGTCAACACAGTAAAGTACCAGGAGAGGCTCAGTGTGTTTGGTGGAGAAGTGGAGCTGTCCATTCAGCACCACTCTGATTCAGCACTGAGTAAAGGACAGCGCTCAGCAGCTCAACCACCATATTAAAACAATGGTTCAGTGTTTTGACTTAAAAAATAAACCGCCTGCATGTGGTTCATTTGCTGTTAGCTGAATGCAGTTAAATGATGTGTCCTTATTACACTGCACCTCAGCACGTCTCCAAACCTGCATCATATTTTAATGTTTCTTTGAAGCTAAACTGACCACTCTCAAGGACATTTTGTGTTACATCTAGATAGAGACTCTGAATCATGTTAACTGTGTACAGTAAGACTTTATACATAATGAAGGGGGGGGGGGCAGCCCTCTAACACACGTAATAGTATAAATTGTTTGACATAAGTATAAGAATAATGATAATAATGATAGTAATAATGATAATAATAATAAAGGCTCCTCCTTTCAAAATCCCTGACAAAGCCGATTCAAAAGCTCCCCATTTGATTATTTTTCTGATTTAAAAGATGGAAATCTTTTTTTGCTCCTCTTCAATCTCACACATCAAAGTCCCATGCCATTCCCCTCAGTCTGAGAGTTGCATCCTTCCTCTGAAAAAAAACGCCTATTGGCTCTTTTCTCTGAGATTGCCCCTAAATAAAAGCGTCCAATGACGTGCAGGGGTAAAAAAAAAAGGAGGGATGGGGTGTGTGTGTGTGTGTGTGTGTGTGTGTGTGTGTGTGTGTGTGTGTGTGTGTGCGTGTGTGTGTGTGTTGGGGGGGGGGTAACAGATTTCTCAAATTCACAAAGCTTCGCTCAAACACAACTGCAGTTTATTGCACTTTTGTTTTTTTTTTTGACCAATAGCAGCCTCGCCTTCTGCCCCTCAACCCCCCATCACCTACCTCTCCTGCCCCCTCCTCCCTCCTCGAACTGCCCTCTCCGTGCACGCGCGTGCACCCCCCCCAACCTCTCCCGCCCCCCCCACCCCCCCCCACCCCGGTCGCGAGGAGGAGGAGGAGGAGGATGTGGCGCGCGGAGGGGAAATGGCTGCCGAAAACAAGCCGGAAGGTAAGAGAGAAATAACAGGATTATTATTATTATTATTCCTGTTTTCCGAGAGTTGTTTTTGACCGCGTCTGGTTCTGTGAGCCGTAAGGATGCGGATGAAAGCGGGGACGGAGTGCGAGCGCCAGTGACACCGGAACCAGAGACATTTTTCCTCTCTCCATCTCGTGTTTATCACGAAATAGCTGATGAGATTACAAGCCCAGCTAGCTAGCCGTCTCTGAGAAGACAGTTTGGATTAGGAAAAAAAATAACCCGACCCGAGTTGGCCAATCTGGAGGGGATTTGATTCTGTGTGTGTGTGTGTGTGTGTGTTTTTCTGTGTAGCTTTTCCTCGCTGACATTATTGGCTTCGTTAGAGGGACGGCAATGTTTTCCTAACTGAGGCTGAGCTCATAAGCAGCCCAAATAGGGCTCTCTCTCTCTCTCTCTCTCTCTCTCTCTCTCTCGCTCGCTCTCTCTCTCTCTCTCTCTCTCTCTCCGTGTGCGAAAATTAACCTTGCTAATGATGTGAAGTGGGATTCCTCCACACCGCTAACCCTCCCTTTTTTTCTTTTTTAACGTACAAACTGAAGGAATCGGAAAAGTCAGAAAAGCGAGAAACTCTTTTATTTTTTTCTTTCCCAGCGCGTCGCTGTTTATAAAGTCAAACGCGAGAATAACGTAACGTCGCGTTAGCTACGCTTCGGACAGCGATGCTCTAAAACGTGATTGATTTTTTTTTACTCTTTTTTATTTCCACCCACAGAGCCGTGGCTAAACACGGCAGCCAGTCGAGGAGCTTCCATCGTGTCGATCTTTTCTCCGTTTTCTTCATTTTTTGACGCCTTTTACGGCGTTTTAAATTGTGAAACTATCAGCAGTTTGGCTCGCGGAGCCGTTGCTTAGGCTACAGCGAGAGACCGTTGTGCACGCGCGCGCTTTCCTCTCCTCTGGAATTCCACTAAGGCAGCAAAATGAAAGGTAACGTTAACTGTTTACGCTAATTTCTCCTAAAAAACGGTCAAAATTAACCTACAGCTGATGTAAAGGGGGCGACTGAGGGTACAGAGATGAGGAATAGGGAACGAACTCCGGTGTGTTTTAATCTACTTAGGTCTGAGGAAGGGTTTTAAAGGCAGTTTAAAGTGGGATAAAGGCTAAATGTTGGCAGTGTAAACAAACATGCCAGCGTTAGGTTGGCTACCTTGTGGTATTAACTACGTTAGCCCTGGAAATCCCTTACTGAGCGATTTATTTTTATTTAAGTCATTTTTTTCTCTCCTGTATGAGCTCATGCTATTTTGTGACTGTATCTTTATGATAACAGCTGCTTATAGTCCGTACAGATAACTTTTGGACGGGGCTTCTAGCTATTCTTGCTTGTTTATGTCAATAAAAAAAGAATTTGGGAGAATTAGACCAACGTTAATGGTGTTTGATTGAAACGACCACGAGATGGAGACAGAGAAAACGTTCAATTTAGCTCCTTCATGGACTAAAAAAAAAGGAGACATTTTATTATAATATAGTGAACTTGTGTTTAACAGACGTGGGGAAGAAACAGCCCGTTCGTTTAGAGTAAGAACGTGACTGCATGAAATATGTGTGCTTTGACTTATTAGGATAGACTTAATGTTAAGTATACTATGGTGTGAGTAAGCACGGTTTCGGTGCTCACTACAACTTAGATTTTGTCATCGTTTAGTGCTTCATTCAGCTATTGTTAAAGGTGCCTCATACAACTTGTGCCTGCAAACTCCACCAGGAGGCGATATTGAGCTGCTAAACTTCATCTCCCATCTGGTCTACAGAAGGATAACTCAGCTTGTCTTCTAATTCTGTCAAAGTGACAATTCGGGGTTGTGTTTTGCATACTGCATGTTCGTCTTCTTCACGTATTATGTGTGGTTTGGGTTTAGTGGCACACTTCAGCGACAGACACAAAGAGGCATATTTGTTTAGTCCTTATGGCCTTAGGCTATTTACAGCATGGCAAGGCTTATTGTCAGGGCTTGGGGCTTGAGCGTGGTGAAAAGGCAGCCCGAGCGCTGAAGGCTGACTCGGCCAGAAACAGTTAAGGGAGAAAAAATAAACTTTAGAAGAATGACCAATAACGCCGGTGACACGTATACATTTATCTGGTGCTCAACCTGGATAATGGTGCCTTTCGTTTGCTGCGAATGTGCCTGTGGGAAAATGTGTCAGGATAATGTAGCCTAAAGAAAGTCGAGGAACAGTAGGATGCCGTGCTATTTTTACTGCGGAAAGCTGCCATATAGCAGCAGAGACCTCTTTTGACCCTCGCAGCCGGAAACTGTGTCACGCATTTGTATCCGTCAGTCCTTTGCTCTCTTTGGTTTCCTGGATCTCACAGTCCGGCTCTTTTTCTCACACAGGAAGCGTATTCTCCAGTGGTTCTCGCCAACAGTGGCAGGTTACATGCGAGGATGTGCTTGTACAGCATCCCCCTTCATCCCTTAGATGTTTTTAAGAGCTGTGTTCTGGGATGTATCATGGACAAAAAGACTCTACACTGCTTTTTTTCTGCCTCACCATTCCTTTTGGGCTCCAAACAGGCCGTCGGTATTGTACTGTCACGCTCCAGCACATGGCTTTTCCCACATGCTACAGGAGGGCTGAACAGTACATCATTCCTTAATCATTATTGTGACATCGGCCTTTGTAATACTGATATCGCAAAGCGTGCAAAATGTAAATGAGCTGCTAACTTGGCCTACAGTGATCAGGAAATTTTAACTGATTAAAATTCTTTTTTATTTTTTGTTCCTTCTTTTAATCCTCTTTTTCATTTTATACAACAAAGTATAAGCCTAACGCTTTTGATACTGGAGCTGAAGAAAGCTCAAGTTCAAATAAATAAACCGTAGGCCTACTCATTGCTGCCCTCTGAAAGTGCTATAGCACCAATCAGAAGTTAGAGCTTTCCATAAGACCCCAGATGTATTTCAGTAAGGGTGTGTTGGGACTGTGCAGGTTTGGTTGGCTTAAAACGAACGCTGGTGCTTTTCTGTTACTGCGGTTTAATAGAGCAAGTGAAAACGCCGCTATTCGAACTCTGGTGCGCACTAAATAGATGGGTTTGCATGTATTTGCTTTAAACCAGCAGATGAAAATGCACCCTGTTTGTTATGATGTAAACATAAGATTGCAGAAGTGAACAATTGTGGAAAATAAATGCGATCGGCTCAAATAATTGCGATCAGGCAATTATGTAATAATTGTGACAGGCCTGCCTCGAATCAGTGTGTAAGCTGTGAGTTCTGACCAATCACAGATGTTCTTTGGGTGTCTGGATGACTCAGGGCGTTTGCATAATACAACAAGCATGAATAACTGTCGTCAAAAATAATGCAGGCCAATCCTGAACCAATGTGTTTTCAGTATATTGGAAGGCATATCACAGTCGCAGTATGTAGCAATGTAACTACACTATGTAATTCTGTCCACATCAGCTCTAATCAGAATACTGAACTACTGCCTTCATTTCCACTCTAAACACAGCCTTTCCTTTGCTACAGTGATAATTAGCTCCATTTGGGAATAGTATGTAGCTTTATGACTGATTTTTGTTTGTCTAATATTGCAATATTTATTGCAACAACCTAAAATATCACAATGTGACTTTTATTCCCAGTATTGTTCAACCCTACGACACATAAACACCCATAGCCAGCTTCCCATGTGCTGGAAATGACGCTGGTTAACCCGTATATTTCCTGCACATCAAAGTCACGTTCCTCCGGATATCAGCAGGGTTAAATCTTAAGGCAATCGCTGTGGTGTAAAAATGAACTCCCAGGGGGAATTTGATCAGTGCTTGGCTTGATAAACAGCGACCGTTGTTGATAGCAAAACTTATCAGCTTCTCATCTCTCTGATATAACTGGAGCTGCCCCTCAGATTGTGCTGGGTGAATCAGCTATGCAATTTTGTTCAGCTAATTGAATTTAGTGAGGCTGCTATGGATTAAAAGATGGCTTCTCTCTCCCTCTCTCTTTCCCTTTCTCTCTCTCTTTCTCTTTTTTTTCACCTGCCTCTGAGAGCTTGTGTTAAAGAACTGATTTCATGGATTGATTCAGCCAACCAGAGGGAGAGGGCGCAGTAGAGCGGATCCAACAGACGCTCTGGACGTCGCTGTTAGAGGGCCAGCTTGTAAGAAATTGAATAGTGTGTTCAGCAGTGACCAGATAGGCAAACAAAAGAGGGAGAATGGAGTGCCAGAAAAGGGAATTGAACACAATAGCCACTGGCTAAAATCTGTCTGTGTCTTAAATTGCCCATAAAAGTTTTTGTTGGTTGTTAGTTTTGAAACTAGATTGCTCAGGAATCTTTGAAGACTTCTGTGTGCCTCAAAAGTGTGCACGTATACTGTCAAAAAAGGTTCTTGGATCTAAGAAAGAAACTTCAATTGGTATAGAATTTTCACTTTGTGTTAAAACTTTAAAAAGGTTGTTCACACTCACACACCTCACTTACAAACATGGTTCTTTTGGGAACCATAAGTGGCTCTTCTGTGGTGTAGCTCCAAAGAACCCTTTATTTTTTGCAGTATTCCACCTTGGAAAGGTGATTGTGATTTCTTTGGAAAGTTTAGATTGCCTGCGAGTCGTTTTTTTAAAGTTTTACATAAGCTGTTCCATTAGGAATAGTCCTTCTAGGTGGAGGTCTGATGTATAGCTCTTAGCCATCTGATCATTAATTTCCATGCATATGTAATAGGCTGATGATGGAGTGAAATCCTTTTGACTTTGGCACGATTCAAACAGCAACGCTAACATCAAGGGACGGAACCCACAAGTCATTCGCTACTGTCAGAACAAAACCTTGTATCTCCATTTTTGTCGTTTTTCAGTTTTTGACATAATTTGAAAGTATTCATTGTCCTTTACATTTTATGTAAATTTAATGATGAATGGACCAAAAGAATTGGGCCAGAAATTACTGGGCAAAAATTCTGGTTCCATGGACTTACATTAAAAGTAAAGCATGTTTTTGTCTTC